AGCCAGCCCCAGCTGCAGTGGTGGATCCTGAAGAGTTCGTGACAGTCTCATTTCCTGTAACTGTGACTGGTGGAGGAATGCTCATGGGCCTAGTTCTGACCAATGAGATGAGAGTCTGTGTGTGAGGGGGTGTGTTCCCAGACAGGTTTTCTCATAGACCCTGGGAGGCAACAGCCCTTTCGCTTCCCTGAGTCCTTGCCACCCTGTCCTGTGACTGCCCATAATGCCTGGAGCTGCCCCAGCCATTCCACAGAGCCAAAGAGAAAGACCAGGCCCTTGATGACATCATCAAGCCTTTAAGTTACCAACCCTCAAACAGCCCGATTCATGACCTCATCGTGCAAAGTTCATACTTCTTATTGTTTGGGCCAGCTTATTTGCAGCCCAAAGGAGCCTGCTGATAGTCCACGGTTGGTCACATTACATCTTTTTGAGATTAAGCCCATCATACCAGAGGAAGGGTCTGAGCTCAGCTGTGCTCTCAGGGAAGACTTCCTGGAGGAGGTGAGGCTAAAATGGAATCTAAAAGAAGGAGCAGGTGGACAAGGGGGGTAGGGCAAAGAGCAACATTCCAGGCAGACAGACAAAGGCCTGAGGCTAGAGACACTATAGCGTGTGTGTATGCACGCAAATAATCTCTGTGGCTGGGAGCCATGTGAGATGAGACTGGAATGGTGGGGTGGGCTGCGGCGGGGCCCTCGGCCAGGCTACAGAACCTCAGGCTATCATAGGGCGAAGCTCTGAGGTAGCCTTGACTTTGCTCAGCCAGGGTCTCCGCCTCCAGCTTTGTGTCTAGAATAAGTGTACTCAGCCTGCCTTCTGCCCCCTATTCCAGCTACACTCAGATGCTACCCTGAGAGTTGGGGCAGGGGCACTGGGCCTTGTTTCTCCAGGTGTGATTCAGCCTGCCGAGCCTCTTCCAGCCCCCAGGGCACTCAGAAAAGACTCTGGCTGGAATCTGGGTCACTCTGCACGAGTCAGACATCCATCAGATAGGCAGTTACTAAGTGCCTACAAAGCAGTGTGCTAAGCACAGCAGAGAAAGGACCTGGTTCAAATCCCAATCCTGTTTCTTCCCAGCTGTGTGACCTTGAGCAGGCCACTTTACTTCTCCAAACCCAGTGTCTTCATCTCTTTGGAACAGATGGTGAAATCAGTGGTAGCTCTATTATCTCTGGTACTGGAAGTGGGGTTGGGGGAGAAGGAAAAGATAAAAAGATGCACAAAAAACTTCCTGAAAGTAAGGTTTGTAATCTAGGTGGTGGGAGAATAAGACAAGCAAACGATATACTGTTATGGAAAAAAGTTGAGAAGTGATGAAAGGTTAAGGGGAGGAAGTAGTAAGTCTAGATGGGAAGTGATGAGGGACATGCATTCCTGGCAGAAGATAAGGGCCACAGAGGCAGGGCAGAAAGATCTACAGGTTCCATCCTGTGCTCCTAAAGCTTTAGAACAGTACGCTGCAAATACAAGGGGTGGACATAACTGTTGAATATGGGTGTCAATGAACCTGTAATAGCAAATCTCTGAGCCTGAGCCAGAAAGATGCTGATTCAAATCTGGGCTCTACCACTTACAGCATGACCTTGAATGAGTCACTTAACATTTGAGCCTCAGATTCCTTCATTGCAGATTCCTTCATTCCATCTAATTCACAGAGTTGTACCGTGGCATATGCAGGATACTGAACTAAATCCTATTTTAAAGCCCTAAGATACAGTGCCACCTCCTGCAGGAAGCCTCCCAGGCTCCCTCAGGTGGTCCCCCAGATCCTGCTCCTACCCCCTAGGTACTCCCTTCCCTGCTGTATTGTGATCGCCTCTTCTTCCTTTCCCACCAGGTTCTGGGCTTCAAAGAGGAAGAGGAAGGGTATCTCAGCATCTCTTGAACCTAGCTGCACCCGCACACGGAGTGGGCATCTACTGATGCCACATCCCTCCCCAAGCCTCCACCCAGGTAGACATGAGAGGGAGGAAGTGACTAAGTCTGCTGGGGGTGGAGGCAAGAGGGGTTCAGGAAAGTTTTGGGTGATAGCACTAGATCTTGAGTGTTGAATAGGAATTTACTGCTGGGGGGTGGGAGGGGGGGGGAGGGAGGGAGGGAGAGAGAGAGAGAGAGAGAGAGAGAGAACTAAAGCAGGGAGGTGTGAAGGGAAGTAAATTGTGGGTCACACGGTATTTGCCAGAGAGTGACTAAAGATGAGAATTCTGGCTTCAGATCCCAAAGGGTCTCAAATGCCATGCTGAGGATTCACCCCTACAGGGAGTGACTGAAAACTTGTAAACAAGGCACAGTGACAAAAATGACAGGGCTATGGGCCACCACTTGGGGGCAGGAACTGATGGAAGGATCAAAAAAAGGACCAAAAGTTCTACCTGGATGACTGATCATTGAAAATTGCTTAAATAATATATCCACAGCCCGCTACCCCTTATACTTGCAGAAAAGCCAATTTCCACAATCATTCCATGCTACACACACACAACAGCTGTGTGAAACCTAGGGGGCCAAGTGGTGCTGTCTTCATTACAGATGGACAAAGGCAGAGCCAGAGAAGGAAAGGACCTTGCCACGGTCACACAGGCAATGAGGGGGCTAGTCACAACCTGAAGCCAGTGTCCTGGCCCAGAGTGCTGGGGAGGCAGGCCTTTGGCCACTTGACAAATGTGCTCAGCACCTTCTAGGGCTAGACCCTGCAGACATGGAGATGACCTTTGACCTCTGAGCCATCTTGAGACTGGACTGGTCACCTGGGCCTCAGACCAGCTGCCTCTTGCAAGAGTGGGAGAAGCAGGACCCACTGAGGGGTGCGGTTTCTGTGGTCAGACAGGTCAGCAGGAGCTCACCCCCAGGACAGGCCTATCTATGAGTCCTCCAAACTGGACCCTGGGCTGGGGGCTGGAAGAGGGCCAATCCCTCTGTAAAGGGAAAGGGGCAGAGGGAGTGGCCCTTTGCTGCCTTTCTAAGAAGCCCCCAAATGCCCCCTCCTCCCAGCACCCAGGCCCCGCACAGCAGCAGCCTGAGTCATCATCCCGGTGGTTTGAATGGTAGCCGAGAAATCAGCCAGGGGGCTGCCTGGGGCTGACGGCCAAGGGTTGGAAAAACAAGGCCATTTTCTCTTAACTCCAGCCTTGGACTCTCAAGACAGGCTAGGGGGTGGGGAGCAGAGGGCAGGTAAATGCAGAATGGGTGGGTGTCAACAACCAGATGGGGCTGGGGTGGGGGGCGATGAGGAGGGGGAGGTTCAGAATCTGAGCTGTTGGCTTTTGTTTTCAAATGACCTGTTTAATAATTACCTTTGCAATCAAAGAAGCCAGGGCCCAGAGAAGGTGAGGATTCCAACCCTCCATACCCCAGCAAGCAGCCAGAGAAGAAAGTAAACAAGATGCCACTGGCTCTCATTCCATCTCGCAAACAATGGCGGGACTGAGCTGCCCGCTCACACACACACATCGAAGTGAGATTTCCAGGGAAGAACTTTAACAGGCAGATAAGAGGCTCGGACTGAATTATTTCCCCACATCCCAGGAGCTCCCCTGAACTCAGCACCCAAGAGGTGTTAGCCTAGGGTTCCGGCATTTTAACATTAACCTTGACCTGTAATTTATTCATTCATTTTGCAGAGAAGGAGAACTACCTCCGCCTCAACGCCCGGAAAACCCAGCCAGCAACAACTTCATCCCTTTCAACAGTCACAATGGTGGACAAACAAGGGATTTAAGTTACAGCGGCTAGCTTGCACTCACACTCCACTGGGCTAGGGCTCCTTAAAAAAACACCACTCTAATCCAAGCACCCACTGGGGCTCACAAAAGTCAGAACCTGACCGGCAGTGGGAAAAATCCAACTTGGTTTTTTTTTTTTTCCAACCTCCCAAGGCCTTCAACTATTTTTCCTCCTGCAGCATCCAAGCCCAGCCTCAAGGCAGAGCCATAAACACGCCTGCTCCTCCCCCTTCCACGGTTCGGCAACCGCCCCCCCGCCCCCCCCAACCTTTCCGGACCCAGAGGAGAAAGAACCACAGCGACCCTCACCCGCAGCCCCCTCCTCTGCCCTCCCCCAGCCGCCCGCGCCGGCCGCAATCCTCGTAGGCACCTTGAGATAAACACCCACTAATGATTTTATGATTTTCTGCTCTGGGTAGCCGCGCTCAGCAGAATCCCTTCCCCCGCCCAGGCGACGGGGGCCGGCCCAACGGAGGGATTGGGGGATGGGGGGGCGTTAGTTTGTTTTTTACACTGCCGCGTCTCCACACCTGTTTTTCATTCATTCATTCGTTCGTTCATTCATTCATTAGCGGATTCGTCACAGCTGCCTCCCCGGCCCTCTGGATCTCTGGGAGAGGATGGGAGGGGGCTAGGGTGGGGGAGACAGCGGCAGGGGTGCATCTTGTAGGGAGGGTCAGGGGGGAAGGACCCCGTTGGAGGGCATTTTGGGTGGCTTTGTCAAACACAAGACGAGCGATGCGGCGGGGGCGGGGCGGGGGCGCTCCCCGGGGCTCGAAGTTGTTTTCCGAGCCGCGGCGGCGAGGACAGCCGCCCGGGTGCGCCTCTTTGTCTCTCCCCGGCCGGCGCCGCGTCCCCGCGCGCTCACCTGGTCTTGGAGGACAAGAAGGCAAGTTTGATCAGGCCGTAGGTGAAGAGCGGGATACTCTCCTTGGCGACGCTGGCAACTTGCAGCCGGTGCTCCAGTATGTGGAGTTCCATCGTCCGCCCGCGCTCCGCGGCAGCTCATCCGCGGGGGGCGAGCCGCGGCCCCCGCCCCCTGCACGCCCAGCCGGCACCAAGCGCCGCGGGCAGCCGGCCCGGTGACCGGGAGCTCGGCGCCGGGCGGGCCGGGGCGGACAAAGGGGAGGCCCGCCAAGCCGCGAGGGGCCGCGGGCGGCGGGCGAGGGCGGCAGCGCTGGCGGAGCAGCAGCGCGCGGCGCCCGGCGCGGAGAGCAGCTGGTGTTCGCTGTAACAAACAACTTGCCACTCAAACGTCGACCCGTTGGGCATGCGCGGCCGCCGCGGGGCGTGCCGGGACTTGTAGTCGCGCGGCCCGGGCGCCGGCGGCCGCTGATGTCAGGGGCTGGGCGGCCGCCCTAGGGGCCCGCCGGATGCGCTGAGGGAAAATGCTGGAGCGCGGGCCCCCACGGGCCCACGGGGAGGCGAAGGGCAGAAGCGGGGGCCTTTCGAGCCAGGCTGAGCCTGAGTGCAAGCTCTGTCCCTCAAGCTCAGGACTAGGCGCTTCTGGGCGCAAAGCGAGTCGCCCACAGAACTCGCGCGCTGGAGGAGACCTGAGTCTGGGAGGGGAGAGATTTGGAGAAACCGGTAATTACAGTGCAGAGAAGCAAAACAGAGAGGGGTGCGGGGGACAGAGACGGGGCCTTGGGGGGTTTTCTGGAGGAGGGGACATCCAGGCTGGGTTCTGAGGGATGAACGGGACCTCGCTGAGGAGGGGGAGGGGGCGCGCGGGCTTGGAGGCCAGCAGTCTTCCAGGCAGAAGGAACAGCGTGTCCAAAGGCACAGAAGCGTGAAAGCCCCCACGGTGCTGTGTTTGGCTTTGTTGGAGCGGAAAATGTGAGGGAGGAGAGGCAAGAGATAAGGCAGGCGCAGTCACCAGGAGTCCGGTCGAGAGGGTCATGTGTGCAGAGCTAATGAGGTGGCCGTTTATCCGGCGGGAGAGAGGGTGCTGGGGACTGCGAATTAGGGAAAAGTCCGAAATACACCCGAAGGGCTTCCCACCCCAGGGCCGGTGTGCCCGTGACTACGTCCCGCAACGGCTCCCCCTTAATGGCTGACTGGAATTTTGAAATTTTCTAGGTTAAAGTTACTGGTGCTCTGCTCCTTGGCAGAGTAGTTTGGGGACGTGATGGGTCAGGTTTACCTGCTGGGCCTGTCTGGGAACTCTCTTGGAGGAAGATTCTGGTCATGCCCTCTCACATTCCTCTCTCAGCCCACCTCTGTGAAGTAGGGACACTTCAGGCTACCTCATTTCCACAGAGGGGCTTGAAGCCCGCAATCTGGTGGCTCTTAAAGTGTGTTGACCCCCTTCCCGGTTTACTTTCACTAAAGAATTTATCACCATCTAATAAAGAATATTCTTCTTTGTTTTGCTTGTCTGTCTCCCTCTTCTAGCATCTCAGCTCCACGAAGGCAGTGGTTTTTGTCTGTTCTCTGCTGTATTCCCAGTGCCTGAAATGTGGTTGGCAGGTGAGAGACATGCATTCAGTATTCATGGAATGCATAAATGCATACATCTATTCCTTTAGCATCTAGAGGCCTAGAAGGCCCAAAAAGAAATGCATTCAGGGGCCAGGCGAGTGTGGAGATGTGTGAAGCAGCTGGGTATCAGACAGGTGGAAATGGTACAGGAGAAGGGAGGCCAACCTGAAGGCATAAAATTTATTAAAACAAAACCCCCCAAACAAAAAACCAACAGGTGAAACCAAATAAACAAGGCTAAAGGCAGGATTTGGTCAGTTTTCTGACTTCTGCCTTAGATGGCCTAAGTCAGTTGTTTTTAATCTGCAAGCCATGACCCATGAGTGGGTGGTGAAATCAATTTAGCCGGGCATGACTAGGATTAAAAAATAAATTATATTGAATAGAAAATGACACAGAGCTTTGCACGTGGTATGGGTAGGTTACTATTATCTTTTCTGTGTTCCAGGAAACTTTCGTTTTGGCCACACGTGAACGTGTGGGCATGCAGGCGTGTGTGTGCGTCTCTGTGTGTGCACGCACTGGATCTTTATGCAAAGGTATTTCTTTTTGTGCATCTTGGTCAAAAACATTTGAAAACACTGGGCTTTCTAGTTAATCAAGCCAGACTATTGTCACGTTTGCAAATTTAGACCACGTTGGTTGGATTTATAGAATTGCTTTCACTGAGCTATATCTGGTGCTTAAGATTTCTGTGACACTGACACCTGAAATGAATGTTGGGATGTTGAGGAAACTGACCTCTAGGTCGCCAAATCCAGAGGATGGTTTCAGGCTGGGGCTAGGGTGAGACATTGACTCTGAAGGTCATGCAAGTACTGGCGTGGCGTGTTCTCATGGAATTCACTCCTCTCTTGATTCCTAGCACTGTACTCTTCTGGTCCTATCCTGGTTCTTCTGGTTTTCCCGCTTTGGTTTCTCCTCCACCCAACCCTAAAATGAGCAGAGGCCCACCTGGTGTTCCTTCCTATAGTGTATTTTTACAGCAATGGCTGCCAGTGAATCATGCCTCCCGGTAAGCCATCCCACACTGACTTTGGGTTTGGCCATGTGAATTTCTTTGGCCAGTGAAGTCTTACCTTGGTAGCACATGTACTTGGTAAGTCCTGTGCATTGAGACTCGCCCACTTGGATACTCCCTTGAGGCCACTATGCTGTAAAGAAGCCCAAGTGAAAGTTAACATGGAAAGAGAGGCCCAAGTGTTCCAGCTGTTCCAGTTGAGCCCTGTCCCCTGCCGACAGCTGGCATCAACCAGACATGTGAGTCTTGGACCTTCTAGCTCACTGTCCAGATGAATGCAGCCCCATGAATGAGCCAGGTGAAAGCAGAAGAGGAACTACCCAACCAACCTATAGAAGAAGAATAAATACAGCTGACCCTTGAACAACATGGGTTTAAACTCCTCGGGTCCACTTATACACCGTTGTTTTTGATAGTGGATAATGCAGTGCTGCAAGATCCATGATCGGTTGCGTCTGTGGTTGTGGAGCCGTGGATATGCAGCCACATATATGAAGGGCCATCTGTAAATTATAAGCAGATTTTCAACTGCAAGGAGGGTCATCATTCCTAATCCTCTCCTCGCTCAAGGGTCAACTGTAGTTGTTTTTAGCCGCTAAGATTTGGAATGGTTTGTTATGCAGAAATACCTAGCTGATACATTCCCTCAACCCTCATCTTCTCTCACTCTGTGGGTGGACTCAGTCTCTGGCTTCTAATATTTTGAGGGCCCGCAAATTGACAGTTCTAGCTCAGAACATGTTCCGGAGGCCCTGATTCACATATATAACTTCCTAGTCGTTGGTTACATCCACCTAAATGTTCACAGGCTTGACCAGCCCAACCTGTTCACACCTTACCTCATCATCTAACCCGCCCCAGCCCTTTTCCTCTTCCTCCTGTAGTCTCTGTCTTGGTTGATGACATCATCGCCAATCCCTAAAGTTACCAGCCTGATATGGCATGTTGTGATTTCCAAGATGGTCGCAACAAGATTTTTTATTCTGCGTGCTCTCCTGGCAACATGACATTGACCATCAACCCATTAGGTGGTGGCTCAATGTTCCTGCTTCTTGAATCTGAGCAGGCCTGTGACCACAGAGAAAACGACACCTGTGACTTCTGAAACTCAGTCATAGCTGCTGATCCTGTTTCCATCTGGTCCTCTTGGGGCACTCACTCTCTGCACGCCTCTGTCATGCTGTGAGGAAGCATGGGCCACATGGACAGATCACAAGTGGAAATTTGGTTTGGTTTGTTAGGGCTGCGTAACAAAGTAACACAGACTGGGGAATTAAAAAACAGAAACTTATTGTCTCACAATTCCGGGAGCTAGAAGTTCAAGATCCAGGGTTGGCAGGTTGGTTCCTTCTGAAACCCCTCTCCTTGGCTTGTAGATGGCCACCTTCTCCCTGTGTCCTCATGTGGTCTTCCCTCTGTGTGTGTATCAGTGTCCTAATCTCCTCCTCTTATGAGGACACCAGTAATAATGATTAGAGCCCAGCCTAATGACCTCATTTTAACTTAACTACCTCTTTAAAGACCCTATTGCCAAATACAATCATATTCTGAGGCAGTGGGGGTTAGGACTTCAACATATGAATTTTGAGGAGTGGTGGGCACAGTTTGGCCCATAGCAGTATTCCAGCCAGCAGCCCCAAGTGAGGTTTCAGTTGACAGCCAGCATCACCAGACCTGGGAAGAAGCCTTCACCTGACACAAATGAGAGACCCTGAGCAAGAGCCACCCAGCTGAGCCCAATCAGCTTCTCATGAGAGATAATAATAAAATAATTATTGTTGTTCTAAACCACTGCATTTAAATAGCAATAGATTATTGGAATATTCTAGAATCAACCCGGTTGGTGGTGGTGACGAGGGGCTGGGGGACAGGGGAGAGCTGACCTGGGAATTATCCTGGTCAGGATAATTGATACCTCTTGCTTCCCCGCTCTGCCATCTAATCAGTCACCAAGTCTTAATGATTTTGTTTACTGCACACCTCTGTAATCCAGCCTGTCTCTTCACCTTGACCATCATGTTCCCATGTCCTAGATTGTTACAGTGGCCTCCTAATGTCCATTCCATCCTCCTCGTGTTGCCAAGGTAGCTGTTCTATGCTGTGGCCCTACCACCTGTAACTCTTGCAGCGACCATGGCTCTCTTAAGAAAACCAAGTTTGGATCCTCCATAGATGGTCTTAATGTGAAGGGAAGGAGGCTTCCTGGCTCCTAGACCCACCCTCTCCAATATGGTAGTCATTGGCCAAACATGGCTATTGAGCATTTGAAATGGAGCTAATGCCATGAGAAGCAGAAACTTTAATTTTACTTCATTTTAATTAATTTAAAATTAAAAACTGATACTCAATTCAGTTATTGGAAAACATTCAAGTATGTTTGGAAAGAACTGCCAACTGTCCTGGTTTTCCTGGGACTGAGCTTTCAGGATGTGGAACTGGGAGTTTTAAAACCAGGACTTGGGTAAACAGGGATGAGTTGGTGACACTACTTTGAAACAACTTGGTTATGGAAATCTATGAAACCCAAATACAGATCAAGTGTTGTGGATGAGAATTAAGCATCTGAATGGAGATGTGCCGTAAATGTCAAATATATTCTGGCTTTCAAAGACTTGGTATGAAAAAAAAATGTAAAATATCTCATTAAAAATTTCGTATATTGATTACATGTTAAAACGATAGTATTTTGGATATTGGGTTAAATAGAATATATTATTAAAATTAATTCCATCTGTTTCTTCTTTACTTTTTAAAATTTAAAGTCACGTATAGCTTGCATTATATTTTTATTAGGCAGCCGTGCTCTGGAGCAGTGGTTCTTAAACTGTGGCTGGTGTCAGAATCACAGGGGCACTTGGTAAAGATGCTGAGGCCCAGGCCCTGTCCTGCTTTGAGGATCCTGGGTCTCTGTTCTTCATCAGGTCTCCAGGCCTCAATCACCCTGCTGTGGTGGGGTAGTGTGTGGGAATGTAGATGCCAGCAACCCCTTTCCTCTTAAGTCTGGGGTCTCTGGACCTAAGAAAACAATGCCCAAGAACCGGCAGGACTTCTCTCTCTGCCTGGCTAAGGCCTAGCATGGGTTTTACCAGCATGGGCTGCTCAGATGGCGTAGGAATGGAAAAAGAAGAGAGGGAGGAGACGGCCAGGAGAACTAAGGGGCATCTTTTTCTGGGGCTCTGATTCTTTCTGGATCCTTCCCTAGTCCCTAGGTAAGCTGACCTCAAATATCTTTCCCTGGGTTTGACAAACAACACTGAGGGCCGTGGGGCGTCACTGAAAGTTCTGAGCAGGGAGGAACCCGATGAAATGGACGCCCTGTTGGCCTATTCTGAGGGAGCCTCAGCCACCTCCCTTTCTCACACTTTTCCACAGGACTGCAGGAAGAAGCGATTCCTCAGATTCTTTGCTAGAGATGGCCCCTCCCACATGCTCACCTGCACTCCCACAGGAAAGGATTACTGGTCCCCAAAGTGCAGTGGGCTGAATTACTATACTATAAACTGTCACAGCTTAATCCCCATCAGCCGTCATCCTGGTCTCGGGCAGAGGCCCTTCCTTCGTGCTCCCAGGCCTGCCCAGCCTTGCCAGGAGCCCCCAGAGACCAGGTCCCGGCTCTCTGCTGCAAATCCACACTTAGACACCAGGCGTCACTCAGCCCCACCAAGGGAGAGAGTGTGTGGTATGGGAAACCAATCAGCCAACCAACCAACCAACCAACCAACCAACACTGCATCCTAGAGAGCCAGGCCTAGTCTGAATTTGGCCTCTATCCCATTCAGTGCTGTGCAAATTACATCTTCCTCTGCTTTGGTTTCCTCATCTGCAAAATGGGCATAATGGTGCCTCTCTCATAGGGCATTCATGTGTAGGCTCCAGCGCTGCTCCTGGCACTCAGTAGATGCTCAGTAGATATTTGTTGAATGAATTAATGAATCAATGTGTGGATGGGCAGCTCTTTGGCAGTCTGTCCTCAAGGGCAGGCCCCCTCCGTGGTTTCTATTCTACCCCTTCCCGGCTTGTGGCTCCCCACAGTGAAGGAAGAAAGTAAGGAAATGGGTGTGTCTACGGCTTCTGTCTGCGTGTGCCTCATTGCATCTGATTCCCTGGAGAGGTAGGGATTCATATGCTCATTTTACACATGGGGAAACTGAAGCTGGGGGAAGGTCAGGAGGAGAGGACCTGAGGACACAGCTTTTCTTGGGTCTCCCAAGGGCCTGCACCAGGGCTGAGAACACAGTGCTACTAAAGTAAGGCCCACGGGTTGAGTCAATGCATGAACATCAGGCACCATGATGACACTGGGAGCCCCATCCCCTTTCTTGTGACATCCTTGGGCAGGGCTAGGGCAGGACAAGAGGCACCAGAGTCTGTCTTCTCTATCTCTCTGTCTTGGATTATTTCCTTTCATACCTTCCTCCTGCCTCCTCCCCTTCTACTCCTTAGCCTGTGCCCTTTCAGCAGTATTTTCTCCTTTCTTTCCCTTTCTTCCTTCCTTTCTTCCTTTCTTTCTCTCTTTCTTCCTTCCTACCTTTCTTTTTCTTTCTTCCTTCCTCCCTTCCTTCCTTCCTTTCTTTCTCTTTCTTTCTTTCTTTTTGTTTCCTTCTTTCTTCCTTCCTTTCTTTCTTTCTTTCTTTCTTCCTTCCTTCCTTCCTTCCTTCCTTCCTTCCTTTCTTTCTTTCTTTCTTTCCTTCCTTCCTTCCTTCCTTTCTTCCTTTCCTTCTTCCTTTCTTTCTTTCTTCCTTTCCTTCTTCCTTTCTTTCTTTCTTCCTTCCTTCCTTTCTTTCTTCCTTTCTCCTTTCCTTTCCCATCCCTTTCCTTTTCTTCCTTCTTTCATTCTTCCTTACTCCCTGCTTCCCTCCTTCTCCCCCCCCCCCCCCCCCCCCCCCCGACCTTTTGTTATAATCTGTGACTGAGGACCAGACTGCATAGCGTCTAAGAACCAAAAGGTTGATATGCTGGAATATAGAGGCTGAGGGGCCTCCACACCCCTACCATTCACACCCCAGTACCTCAGTTTCCTCATCTGTAAATTGGTTTGTTTTAAGGACTTGGGGTGGTATGTGTAGGTGCTGAGTACAGGCCTGACCGATGGGAAGAGCCTGATGGGTGTGAAGTGTTGCTGGTGCTATTTCACCTGTGCCTAAGGCAGGCCTCACTGCAGCTCTTTAATGTCATGGGAACTGATTCTGGAGAGCATCAAGGTCTGAGATTCTGAAGGTATGATTTGGGGTAAATTGTGCGTCAATTTCGTGATCACTTAAATGCAAGTGTCTGGATGGCTGCTTCCCAGGAAAGTGGTGAGCCGTTGGTCATTAAGTTGTTGGGAAAATGACAGCTGAGTCCTGTGGCACTAACACACAGCCTAGTTTGGATTGTAAGCTCAGGGAGGGCAGGGCTGGGATGATGTGTGGCCTTCCCTGGGGTGGTGTTCATTCAAGGCCTGTGGAGTGACTCAGGATGCACACGTGGTGACTGGCAAGTAGGGGTGGCCTGAGGGTCCCGAGTGACCCTAGATCCAAAGTAGCCCCAGAGTTCCTTCTTGGCAGGTCACAGGAGAGAGAGCTGTACTCAGGACATCTTTTTGCACATTGCAAAGGTGATTTGCTCTCTTGGGAAGGAATCTGGTCTCTTTAATATCCTTTGTGAAGATGCAGAAACATCTGCAGTGGAGACTGCTGGGATTGCTCATGAGATATTAGCCACATCTCGGTGAAAAGAGCAATTTATCAGAGGACGTTCCTTCCAGTGACAGAGAACCTTTCAGAACTTGATTGCACTTAATGTACCAGCCTTTCCAAAGTATTTTATTCCACCCTCAAATGAGATAATGAAGCCCTTTAATTTACTGTTCAACTCCCAGACAGAGTGAGCTGGTCAGGCCCGAGGAGATAGAAGGCTGGACGCAGGCTCAGGAGGCCCAGTGCACCTGGTGTGTCGTCATGGCCTTCTTAGCCTGGAGCTGCCCATCTCCTGTTGGGAGGTGGCATGGAGCCCCAGGCAGCCCAGGGTAAATCCCAGTCTTGCAGTTTCCTTCCTGTGTGTCCCCAAGCCAGTCACTTACTCTCTTGAAGCCTCGGTTTCATCATCTGTAGAATGGGGATGGATGGTAACACTGGCGCGGCAGGGTTGTAGTAATGATTAGGGATGATATGGCTAAGAGGGCAGTGCCTGGCACTGGGTAGATGCTCAATAAATGACAATTGTCATTGGGTAGTGAAGTCGAGCCCTGAGACCTCAGAGGAAGTCATTCTTGCTGCTGGTCCTGGGGAACGTTCACATCCATGGCTCTGCCCTGGAATCACACCATCAGCACCAAATGAAACAGCCTTCAAGGCCTTCACCTCCTGCTTATCCGCCCATCCCATCCTGACCATTTCAGTGGATCTCGCCCACCCAGACAAATAGATGATGGATGGATAGCTGTAAAAACTCAGCCGTGGGCAGCGTCAGAGCCCATGCTGGACCTTGCCCAAGCCTTCTCCAGCCTCTTGTTTGGACCTGGGAGCTCCTTGACCTCACCCACCCCAGTTCTCACATACATGATGGTGCAAGCCCTGGATACGTCTAAGGGGCCTCGTCAGATTTGTGTTGATCACAATACTCTCCCCACAAAGCAGTCAAGTTGATTGCTCTTACGATATCAGTATGTTATGATACTTTTCCAAGGATGCAAGTAAAGCATTCTGAGAAAGGGATGTATTTTCTAATTTGCCCAGAGGTCATTATAGATGAATGGTTTACCCTTCCTTCCCCCCCTGCCCCAGTGGCCTTCCCCAGCTCAACCTCACACTCCCCTTACAGTAGGATTCTGGCATTTGTCCTCTGTTTCCTGCTCTGGCCCGGGGGGACCAGCCAGGACGCGCACTGTTGGTCTCATCTCTGGCTGGCTTTCTGACTGGCTCTTGTCTCCAGCCCAGACTGATTCCTGTCAACACCCCCTCCTCCCCTCACTCTGTATACATAGCTCTTCACCTGCTCCTGCTGCCTCCCTCCTGATCAGCATCCAGACTCACCCTGTGTCTGTACCTGTGGTGGCTGATGATGGCCCTTAAAGATCCCTGGAACCTGCAAATGGTGCCTTATATGGAAAAGGGGTCTTTGCAGATGTGATTAAGTTAAGGCTTTTGAGATGGGGAGTTCACCCTGGATTATCCAGGTGGGTCCAATGTAATCACAGCATCTTTACAAGAGAGAGACAGAGGGATATTCGACACAGGCAGGAGAAGGTGACATGAACACAGAGGCAGAGATTGGAGTGATGTGCCTGCAAGCCAAGGAATGCTGACCACCATCAGAATCCAGCCACCAGCATTCTCCCCTGAGCTTCTGGAGGGAGCACAGCCTTGATGACACCTTGATTTCTGCCCAGTAATACAGATGTTGGATTTCTGCCTTCCAGACCTGTGCGAGAATAAATTTCTGTTGCTTTAAGACCAAATTGGTGGTCATTTGTGACAGCAGCCATGGGAAACTAGATCAGTGTTCATCCTCTCTGGGGAGATCCTTTGCCCGGTCCAGCTTAGCTCTAGGCCCTGACTCTGTTTTGGTCCCCATGGTCCTGGCCCTGAAGGGAGCTCCCTAGCTCTTCGGATGGGCCTGGACACTTGATGCTGCAGTGCCACATCCCACTCCTGACAGGGGCTTTGGGGACCTTAGAATCAGCTGCATAGGTGTTATCTGCTGGCGATCAACCCCAGGACCCACTGGGTGGTAGGCCCTCCAAGA